TATGGATCAGGTGACTACGGTAATTCAATGTGATGAAGCAACAGTGGTGGATGGTGGTGGTGGGCTGCAGGAGCAGGCTTCCTGCTGAAGGATAAAGGGACATAGTCAAGGGAAGCAGTTGTAGATTTTGCTCTGGTCACAGTCAAAGGGAAGCAGTTGTAGATTTTGCTCTGGTCACCCAAAAGGTGGATAGAGAATAAGAACTATGGAGTTAGAAGATGCTCTTGAGAGGGTCCTAGGAAGGACAATTCAAGGACAGAGGAAGAAGTACTAAGGTGTGCCTGGAAGACCAATCTAGGTCTTCCAGGGAAAGCATGTTGGGAAAGCAAGGTGGAAGGAGCAGTACCCAAGAAATGTACAGATTCCTTTCAGAAAATAGGGGTGCTCAGTAATTTAGTGGCTCCTCTCTACTGCAAAACATAAAGCTGCTTTAAACGAGGTCAAAGGCAAGTATACATCTACTAAAGAAAACAGACAATTTTTCACTAAAATTTCAAAATGCTCAATGGATTTGAACAAGCTGTAAAAAGAGGGTAAGAAAACAGAAGGCAAGTCTCTGTATTAGTGGAGAGCATAGTTTTTGTTTCTCTAAGGAGACACAACTGAAGAATGCTTTGTGTGAAATTTGATTGGACAAGGATGGGTGGTAAGCCATGGAATATAATGTTAGGACAGGAAAAATTAAATATGAACTGAAGTTAGCCATAGATTTTTTTTGTTACTTTCTTAGGGAGGATCAAAGATTAGGGTAGGTACAGGTGTATCCTCTTCCTGAGCACTTCCTGCGGAAGTACTTCAAGACTTGAACTGTCAGAATGCCTGCAAACTCATTTCAAATTGTCCAGAAAGCAGACACAGCAAAATGATAATGCCTGAACTTGGTGGACAGAGTATGAAGACATATTACCATGCTCTTTGTAGTTATACAAATTGACATAAATTTTCAAAAAGAACAAACATTTCTGCTACATCTTGGCTTATCAAGAGAACAAAAGCTGTAACTCATTTACCCAGAGAACACATCAGATAGTGTTAATTAACAAATTCTTTTTTTTTTTTTTTGAGACAGGGGTTCTCTGTACACACAGCCCTGGCTGTCCTGGACCTCACTCTGTAGACCAGGCTGGCCTCAAACTCAGAGATGTGCCTGCCAATGCTTCCCAAATGCTGGGATTAAAGGTGTGCGGCCCTGCTGCCCAGCTTAATCAACAGTCTTAAAAGGTAGTAGCTAGAACTAACAACTACTCACCCTGTCATATTCTAAGCATTAGGCTATAAACTCCACAAACGGAGGAGGAGTGAAGCCTTTTTTCCCAAATATTAAAATATTTTTTTTTTTTTTTGTGTGTGTGTGGGCAGAAGTTAGAGAGGGAAACTTGGGAATGTTCTCTCCTTCCACTGAGTGGGTCCCAGGGACTGAGGTCAGGCTGCCAGGCTTGGCAGCAGGCATCTGCACAGACAAGCCATCTCCTTGGCCCCATTTTTCTCTCGCTGCACAGCCTCTCTCCTGCATTTAGCCAACTGCTAAGAAGTAGGAGAGATGTGTGATTTTGTCACATGAATGGTGATGTAAATGTGAATATTCTGTGTACAATACTCTTCTACTTTCTACATATTCTGGAAGTAAAAACAAGTGCACACTAGTAATATTTGCACAACAAATGCTCTTAATTTACTTCCTGTAAATTCAGTAATTTAAGTTCTGGGTCACAAACTAGACGTTCTCAATCCTTTGTGCCACAAAGTTAAGTAATATCTAGCCCTACTTAATACTTTTATACATTTTTTAAAGACAGTTTTACTTAACATTTTAAAAACGGCGGGAGCCGGGCGGTGGTGGCGCACGCCTTTAATCCCAGCACTCGGGAGGCAGAGGCAGGCGGATCGCTGTGAGTTCGAGGCCAGCCTGGGCTACCAAGTGAGCTCCAGGAAAGGCGCAAAACTACGCAGAGAAACCCTGTCT